AAAAAAAAAAAAAAAAAAAAAAAAAAAAAAACTAGAAGAAATACAATAAACGTGAACTAAAGATATATACTGCAGAAAACTGGAGTGAAACATGTACTTTTTCCTTGAAAACTTCACCATAATATGGACAAGAAGTTACACCACACAACCAACACAAATTATTGGTTGTTGTTCATTGAGATTGAATTCCGGGAAAAAATTATTAGGTTGAGGTTTCAGTAAGTTTACCAATGGCATTGACGTTCTCTTGACTTTCGCCAAAATACTTCTTATATTGCCAGGCAATCCTTAAGCCCTTCTCCTGAAATGAATTCAACCAGATCTTATATCTTTGCATCCAAATCCAAAATCAAAAGAATTGAAAAAGTTAATGAGAAGTGGAACACCTGTTCAGCAGAACTGTCACGAGATTTATTATCTTTTGATGTCCCTGGGCTTGGCAAAGTACCCAAGAATCCTCTTGGGTCTCTAGATGGACTAGCATAAAGAAGGGGTTGGTTGTGAACAAGTCCCTGAGACATAAAATTCCGCAATAAAAGCATGTGATGAGGAGCTTCTGCATCTTCCATAACCAAGACTAAGCTTCCCAAAGGAAACCCACCACAAAGAATCTCTGCAACCAAACAAAAGGAGAAATTAAGACTAGTCCAAATGAATAACATGGGTATAGATTACAAGTCTTCAACATTTCAATTAACATTTCAATTCCCAACAATTTTGAACTGATGAATATGATGCAGAAAGTACTGTCAAGGTCTGGTATTCCGGATGAAATGAATGTGGTGCCATTGGGACCATGTTTAAGTCCTGGCGTCTGAGATGAATGTGCAGAAGAAAGGTTGCGTGAGAAGCTGCTTGTCCTAGGCTTTGTCGTAGCTTCCATAGCTGGGTTAATACTCTGCAGTTTTGAGCAAATCGTCCAATAAAATGTAGCTCTATGGTCTATTCAAGTCAATGAAAACCCTGAAAGCTGCAATTAACCATCTTAAAACATACGGACGCTTAACAATACAAAACTAATTGGGAAAGGAAGAAAAGGACGGTGCCAGAATAAGGGCAAAACATGATGTAGAGATGTGAAGTATCCGTGATAGTTAAAAACTAAAAGTTGAACAAGAAATTATACTTGCATACATATAGATATTCGTACGTTTGATGGAAACGAAGTGGGGGATGGGGTGTAAAAGGCAATAGCTTCAAGTGAAATTCATGTAAACGATCGAAAAAACTTCCATCATTTTGAAGTATACCTCTAAAAAAACTCAATCAGTCCCAAAAGTTCTCGCAGGTTTCAATAAATTCATATCGACATTTCATCGAACACTTGGTCGGCAATACACAAAAGAAGATTAATTTAGCAAGCCAACACCAGAAAAAGCTAGCAAAATTGGGGAATAAATTCAAAGATTGGTTATGGCCCGTTTCTACACAAAGATTCACGAAGAACATACCTCAAATGCAATGATCTGGATTGTGTTTCCCTCCAGGCCGAAGACGTTAATAGATTACAAGGTTGGCGGGAGCGAGAACTCGTAGGTATGTTAATAGCATCCAGAAACCACTTCGTATTTTCAGAAATAAGTCCTGTGCGGCACTACTTCAGAATCTTTGCCTGCGACAGTTCAAGAACTCACAGAGAAGCAATTGAAAGTGGCAATTTTTTAAAAAAAAGTTTTAACTTTTTAACTTTTTTATTTTATGAAATAACATTTTAAATTTTAAAACTTTATATAATAAATTATTCGTAGACCAATTCTACAACAACAATAATAATAATAATAATAAATACAAAGTCCAGGACACTCGTTTTTTTCTAGTTTATTAATTTTAATAAATTTATTTATATTATTTAATTAATGTTTTTAATTGTATCGCAATTACTAGTTAAATTGTAATCATATCTTATTATTAACATTTTATAAAGGCGAATGCAGAAATTTGTTTACTATTTTTTTTTTTGTTCTCCTCTCATTTCAGAAAATAGAAATCTATTTATTTATTCAATTTTCTTTTTCAATACAATAAATGAATTATATATAAGATAATGTTAATGGCGCATGTCGATCATTAGAACAAGTATATACGCTAGCATCATCCCATTCAAACGACAGTATGAATCAAACATTGCAGAAAATAGATGACCACATAAGCTTGGTCTCTCATATCAACGTTGCTTTGCAATCAACTTCAGATAGAACATACTTGTCTAGCTTGTTCGAGAGGGACGATAATATGATATCCGTTATTCTTCAACAAGCTGAATCTTTAACGTCCACTTCAGTGAGAATGTATATTCTTCCGGTAGTTCAATGTTTCTATGAAGGTCAACTATTTCATTTGCTTGTTTTCTCATATTTATACAATGATTTTCCTAAATTTTTCAAGAAAAACGTGAATATATTTTTTAAAACTATTTCTCGATATCAAAACTTAATTTGAATTATGAAAATATTTATAAAAAAAAATGTAACAAAACAAAGGAATTCATAAATGACACGTAATTCTTTTATTTAAATTTGATAAATTATGCTTTCGTCAATTATTAACAAATAAAACAAATGAATGACATGACACGTAATTCACAATGAGATTAATTAATGATATAAAATTAGAAATTTAAAATCTACCAATTTACTGAAAAATAAAGTCATTTTCAATAATTTTAAATATGCAGGTGAAATACACATATTAAAAATAAATAAAATGATTATGAAATTAGAAAAATGTAAAAGTTTTGGAATTTGATAATTTATGACCAATCTTTTCGAAAAAAAATAAATAAATAAAACTCTTCTGTGACAGTTATAGTTATATTTTAAAGTTTGTTATTAGTTTAAAATAATCACATTCTTTAAAAGAAATTAGTTAAAATTAATATCAAAGTAGAAATTTAAATAAAACAACCTCATCGTGTTATGATTAAGACAAAAAAAACATGATTAAGACAAAAAAATCATGATAGAGAAAATTTAAAGAATATTGACTAAATGTTTTATTTTCTACATATCTGTTATCCATAAAATCTTTAGCTAATATTTCTCTTTCAATTTTCTATGTTCAGCATTTGTGTTCATACTGAAATGTTGAGCGATCCTAACACGGGTCCTAACACTTCAATCTTTTTAAAAACAAACCCGAACCAAATCCAATGGTTGTAGTTAGGGAGAATGAAAGAATAATACATCTCCTTTTCTTCAACAGTAAAAGAATAAGAATTGTATTCCAATTCCAAAAAATTATTTTCTCTGCTTCTTTTATCCAATCCTCTCTACCTCCGGCGGCCGCCATCTCCAAAAGGCTCCGCCGCCGTCTCCTCCGACGAGCGAACGGTTCTTCGTTTCAGACAGATCAGACAAAGGACACCTTTATTTTGGATGGTTTCCGACAGATCTGAAATGGAGGAGTCTTTGGATATCTGTAAGTAACTTCCAGACCAATATCGATGGAAGCCTTAATTTATTTAAAGCTACAGAAATCTTTATGTGATCATCAGTACAAGGAACAAATTGTTCTTGAACAGCATGAAGAAATTAAGAGACACAATTAATTATGTTCTTCAACGATTATTTGATCGCTCATGCATTTTCAGATAGCCCAGAAGCTCATCGATTAACCCATCGTCTCGTTCGTTGTTCACGAACAGATCCTTCATCTCTTTTACTCTGTCTCTGTAAATCTTACCTTCATCCTTCACCATTACCAAATTCAATGATTCCGCCACCGAATCGCTTGTAAAGGATCCATCCACTTCGCTCCTCGGAACAGAGTAACCCATCTTCTTCTCTTCCAATACTCTTGCATTGATTCCTTGATCCGCCAAAAATGTCAGTAATATCAGAGATCTTTCACTCTGAATCGCTTCCACAACAGAGCTCCACCCAGCGTGCGTCAAAAACCCACCCACTGACTCATGTCCCAATATCTTCAACTGCGGCGCCCACGTGGTGCACACCACGCCCCGCCCTTTGGTTCGTTCCTCGAACCCATCAGGTAACTCGATTGGGTCCGGATCGCTAGGTCCTCGCCGGGTCCTCAACACCCAGAAAAACGGCAGCTTCGATTTCTCCAACCCTAACGCGATCTCGGTAAGTTCGTGCTGATTCGGCTTGGCCTCGCTTCCGAATGCCACGTAGACCACCAACCCTTTGGGTTGTTGGTCGAGCCATTGTTTAATCGGCTGCCACGCTGGATTCTCGTCCCCGGAATCATACTCCGACGTCGGAAGTTGACCGATTGGGAAAACGGTTTTAGCGCATATATCTCCAAGTACTTCAATCCACTCCTGATTGAATTCAGGGCAAGCTCTCACAACCACTACATCGCTATAGCGAACATTAATTTTAAAGCGATCTAAATCAGACACGCCGGTAATGTTACCGGAAACGCCATCGAAAATCTTCATGACTTCGAAGTAACTAAACGCCACGGTTGTTGGAAAAGGAACCCACTCGGGCGGAACTGTGAAGTCCTCTGGTTTAGTCCGTTTATCTCCGGATCTGGCTCCAAAAAACACCAGACATTCGGGAATGAAGATACTGAACAGAGCAGTCTTAATCCCAAGGCTGGGTCCGATCTCTTGACCCAACCAATAGGAAACAAAGTCACATAAGACCCAATCGGCATCGGAAGTTCGAAGAAACTCGGCGAGGGGTTGCTTTAGGCCGTCGTAGGCCTTTTTAAGATACTGAACTTGGTCGAAAGGGACATCGGAGGTGGCCTCTGCGCTTGGCGGCAGATTTTCGACTCGAGGCAGAGGAATTCCGACGAAGCGGAGAAAAGGAGACAAGTGGGGCGGGAGTTTCGGGAGACGGTCGATGTTTCTGGGAGTGGAAACGAAGGATACCCGGTGACCCTTCTGAGCGATGAGTTTGCAGAGCTCGAGATAGGGAATCATATGGCCAAAAGCCAGCCATGGGAAGAACACTATGTGGAGATTCTTACCGGCGGCCATGGAAAGGTTGCAAGGTCGCTTACTGGTACAATATGACAATAATGTCGGAGATGCTAGGTAAGGAATAATGTTTCTAAATAATTTACGAGATTATTATTATTATTTTGCACACGTGGCAAATATGTCTTTTTATATTTTATGTTTAATTTTTTTGCATATTGAATTATTTTTAAGTTTAATTTTTTACTATATTCAATAAATATTCAATTTTTTAATGGTTATTATATATTAAATTTAGGTAATTCTCAGATTTTAATTTTAGTATATTCAATTTTCTCAGTTATATATCCTTTTATTAAGAGAAAAAAAATATCAAGTTTTATTACCAAAACTTATTTATGATTAATTATTTTGTTTTAATAATATATTATGATAGTGTTTATAATTATTTTGCAAGCGTACGTACGTGAATTTATTAATAAAACAATAATTCAATGATACATGAGTTTTATAATAATAAATTTTATTAATTTTTTTTATCGCGTATTTAACTGAAATTTTTAATAAATTAGAATAATATTCAAAGTTTCAAAAATTAATAATTATTTGGAATTGGCATCCTACTTTAAACCTTCATTCATAGCTCCACATGTAATTTTACCATATGTTTTGTTTAGTAATTAGTAAGTGACCTTTTGAAATTAAAAAATGTGAATACAAGTCGATTCTTTTTTATACTACGACCTATCGTGACTTTAGGTTCCAGTTTTTTCAAGCTCAAGATGTGTATCATCATTTTAATACATAGTTATATATGCACCATTTTTACGCCCAAGACCCACATGACTCTATTACTTTCATAATCTCTAGGCCTTTTTAGTATATACCATTTTAGTAAGTTGTATCACTTTCATACCTATCAACCTTACACTAAATGCTAAACGTAGGTAAGGACCCTAAAAGTCAGAAAAAGAAACAAAGAACACATTTTTTTTCTTTCATAATTTTATAAATCACACACCTACACGGAAGTCATGTTCATCTTTGCCATCTATTTCATTCCCCATCCCCACATAAATTTTAGTTTACTTTTGCAAGGATTGGGTCGAGATTATCCTTAAGAAACTTTTTCCTTTTCTTATTTTTTTAATAAAAATAGTCTATACATTTTATTTGTCAATATAAACTATTAATTTACATTGATCGGTTGAAATAATTTCATATAAATAATAAATTATAGGACAAAATTACATCCATGGAAGAAAAATTCCAAAATAAAGTAATGATTAATTTTTGTAGATATAAATTAATATTCGGCTATGAATGACAAAAGCAAAACAAACGTGAATAAAATAATTCAAATGTTTACCAATCAAATTTGAAAGTTGCAATGGAAATGAAACTTAAAAAGTCTTTGTTTGGAGAACAAAGAAGGAAGCCTTAATTTAAAGCCACAAGAATCTTTATGATCATCAGTACAAAGAACAAATTGTTCTTGAACAACAACCACAAATTAAGACACACAATTAATTATTCAACAATTATTTGATTGCTCAAACTTCAATATCCTGTGAATTCTTGTTCTCGTTTCTATGCATTTTCAGATAGCCCAGAAACTGATCGATTAACCCATCGTTTCGTTCTTTGTTCACGAACAAATCTTTCATTTCTTTTATTGTGTCTCTGTAAATCTTACCTTCATCCTTCACCACTACCAAATTCAATGATTCCGCCACCGAATCGCTCGTAAATGATCCATCCACTTCGCTCCTCGGAACAGAGTAACCCATCTTCTTCTCTTCCAATACTCTTGCATTGGTTCCTTGATCAGCCAAAAATGTCAGTAATATCAGACCCTTTTCACTCTGAACCGCTTCCACAACAGAGCTCCACCCAGCGTGCGTCAAAATCCCACCCACTGACTCATGTCCCAATATCTTCAACTGCGGCGCCCACGTGGTGCACACCACGCCCCGCCCTTTGGTTCGTTCCTCGAACCCATCAGGTAACTCGATTGGGTCCGGATCGCTAGGTCCTCGCCGGGTCCTCAATACCCAGAAAAACGGCAGCTCCGATTTCTCCAACCCTAACGCGATCTCGGTAAGTTCGTGTTGATTCGGCTTGGCCTCGCTTCCGAATGCCACGTAGACCACCAACCCTTTGGGTTGTTGGTCGAGCCATTGTTTAATCGGCTGCCACGCTGGATTCTCGTCCCCGGAATCATACTCCGACGTCGGAAGTTGACCGATTGGGAAAACAGTTTTACTGCATATATCTCCAAGTACTTCAATCCACTCCTGATTAAATTCAGGGCAAGCTCTCACAGCCACTATATCGCTGTAGTGAGCACTCATTTTTAAGCGTTCTAGATCAGAAACGCCGGTGATGTTACCGGCAACGCTGTCAAAAATCTTCTTGATTTCGAAGTAACGATACGCCACGGTTGTTGGAAAAGGAACCCATTCCGGTGGAACTGTGAAGTCCTCTGGTTTAGTCCTTTTATCTCCGGACATGGGTCCGAAAAATCCCAGACATTCGGGAGTGAAAATACTGAAGAAAGCAGTCTTAATCCCAAGGCTGGGTCCGATCTCTTGACCCAACCAATAGGAAGCGAAGTCATATAAGACCCAATCCGCATCGGTGGTTCGAAGAAAGTCAGCGAGGGGTTGCTTCAGGTCGTCGTAGGCCTTTTTAAGATACTGAACGACGTCGTAAGGGACATCGGTGGTGGCCTCCGCGTTTGGCGGCAGATTTTCGACTTGAGGCAGAGGAATTCCGACGAAGCGGAGAAAAGGAGACAAATGGGGAGGGAGCTTCGGGAGACGGTCGATGTTTCTGGGAGTGGAGACGAAGGAGACACGGTGACCCTTTTGAGCTATGAGTTTGCAGAGCTCAAGATAGGGAATCATGTGGCCGAAGGCGAGCCATGGGAAGATCACTATGTGGAGATTCTTGTCGGCGGCCATGGAAAGGCTGCGAGGTCGCTTGCGGAAAAAAATATGGCAGTAGTGGTGGAGATGGGGGGATACATATGGAGTGATAATATTTTTAAAATATGAATAATTTCTGAGGATTTTTTTAATTTAATTTATTTTATTTTATATTTTGGTTGCGTGGAATCCTTTTATTTTATTCTTTTCAGACTTGCGGTGGATGTATATTGAAACATTAAATTAAATATATTAAGTTTGCGCCCACTAACTCTTACTTATAAACTTGACTCACAAGGTTTGGATAACTAAAGAACTAAACTTATAATTTAAGAAATTATTAGAGAGTTTGATAATTAATTTTCTGTCAATGAACTTGTCATGAACGGTAGAGGTCCACGATAGCATCTTGAAGGTTGACGGAACTTTAATATACATGAACCTCGTGCAAATTTGTAACTTAGATCGCGTCTTGAAGACTTATGATATAGGTTTAGAACTGTGGTGATGATGAGAAAAACTAGTCGAAACAACAATTCGTGGATCTAGAGAATCCAAGAGAAATTTCGAGAGTTAGAGGTCTAGATTGGCCGAGGACTAAGAAGTTGAACTAGCTTCCACTAAATTAGCTTAAGTGGAACGTACTAACTTAGGGTGTAGCCTAGGAAGAACTTGCTCTTTGGACGAACTCCTAAGAAAGAATGTATTAACTAAATTTCTTAAGACGTGAGAATGAACTAGAATTACTAGCCAGTAATTTCAATTTTCTTTTCAGATGGAGCCTAATGTAACGGACGAGATGGAGGCGCACATGGGCTTTTGGTTAGAAGGAGTCGCGTCATATTCGAGTCTAGATTTTCTTTCATATTTGTCTTTCATGTTCGTGGTTTGTATTCCTCGAAAAGTAAGTAGTTATGATTTTTGATCGAAAGAATAATAATAATAATAATAAATGAATTATTAAATTACATATAAAACAACTAAAGTAAGAGATGGAAAGTAAATTTGATAAAATGATATAATAATAAAAAAAAGAAAATCAGATTTTATAAACAATTACACAAAGAAACAAACAAAAATCAAATTTTATAAAGAATCTCTTTATAAACAATCACAGTTTTTCGAGAACCTAAATTTTTGTCAAAAGTGATTGGATATGATTTTTTATATTTTAATATTAACAGTGCAATATAAGGTTGTCCATGTAATATAATTTGATTTTTTTTAATATTTAAAAAAAATAGAGAAAATTAGAATTTCATGTTTTATCATTATTATTATTATTATTATTATTATTTGCTATTTATACTATATGATAAATTAAATATATATTCATATTGTTTCAGTGAACTTAAAACATGTGTATGGTACAAAATTGATGAAATGTCAAAGAAAAACAACATTAGAGTTAAATCTTTTAGTTTTGGTAAAGTTATTTAATGATTAATTTCTACACTAATCAAACTAATATTTTATACAAAAATTAAATAAATAGTAAAAATTGAAACATTTAATTAAGTCTAACATAAAAAAGTTAAGAGAAAATTGATACAAACTTCTTGGTTTAAGAGTATAAATTAATTTTTTAAAAATATATTTTAAAAAATATATTTAATTCATCTTACTCAACAAAGTCGGGTAAGATTTTATTTATTTATTTATTTTGTTGTTATTAATTATTAATTGTAGGTCATTTTTAGATCTAGTTTATTAAAAAAAAAAAAATTGAAACTTCCCAACAAAAACCTTTGCTTTTTCTCAATTTTTTTTATATGATAGATTGAAAGAATTAATCGAGGAATTATTTAAAAAAAAAATCGCAACTACCACGCTAACACAATTTTCCTTGTTTTTAAAAAATATAGTTAAAAAACAGATAATAATCCAAAAATAAGTTTAATTTTAAAATAAAAAAGTAGTTGAAAGAAAAAATACTCATTGCTTAACTCAAGTTATAAATCACCATAGGAACTATAAGAATTAATCTTAACTTTTAAAATCACATGAACAAAATTCTAGCTTTATCTTCCCAGCTATAAGGATCAAATTTGAAATTTAACAATAAATATTCAAATTAATCCTCTATAATAAGCAATGAAGCATTAAATATTGATCTAACAGGGGCAATGAAGACTGAATACATGGAAAGTAGCGCACCGGTGGGTGCATGAACCAACTTTAGTGGCTCAAGCTTCCATGCTCAGAAATATATTAATTTTTGTTCACGTAAAGGAATATGTACTTGGATACCACGAAGTAGTTGCTGCCTAAACTATTTACTTGAAGGGGAGGTCAATCTAGCTTCCTCCGAGTCATGTTTTGAGGATGAGTCCCCACCCATTAGTTCCTGGAAGCCTTCGACCTTGACCGGTGGAGCCCTAGCGACGTTAATATTCCTGCATAACGATGAGAATGTGCTATAATAGATCAGCAAAGAACCCATTCAAGAACCAACTTAGTGGTTAAAGATTATTTTAGAATTTTAAGATGCTCTTACGGTGTCTGGATCTGGGGCATTTGCATAGAAGACATCTGCCTGAACTGATTTGCTGGTGAAGCGTGAACATTGGACATAGCAGCAATTTGCGGGTGGCGGAACTGCAACTGGGGATGTCTGACGTTAAGAGCATTTAAGGCATTGCCATCCATAGGCAATTCTGTATTTTCAACCTTGACTTGCACTAATGGTCTGTCCTTGTTCACTTCCATAACAGCACGTGGGTTAGCAGATTGCCGTCTTCGCATCTTTTCAGCAAGCGCTAATTGCTGCTGCTGCTGAAATGCCAAATTTTGGGGATGAACCATCTGTGGCATCTGGGGATGCATTTGTCTGGGCACCTGCAGATCCAACAAATTTGCCTTATGGTTTTCGAGATGCAATATAGAGTTTTAAGTTTTAATAGATGTCCTCGTTTCAACAACACTGATGGCATGTGAAGCAAGGATTATTAAAGAGATGAATGGTAATAGTTGATTAAAGTAACAAGAAAATGTTGTGGGACAAAATGTGTCTGTCTCAATGCAGCGAGAGAGTTATACCAACAAAACAATATCTATCGAGAATTTGATATTCGCAGTATAACATCTGTAATTACATGAGAACATCATACAATAAGAGACTGAAAAACAAAGGCCTCATACGACAAGGGGAAGTCACACAAAACAAAAATTGACACGCAGGAGAAAATATAGGGATACATACTTGTTGAGGCACTTGAAGAAGGCTCTGATGCTGTGCCTGCATTTGTGGTTGGACTCCATGAACTTGCAAGGACTGCCGTACATAATTCCTGGAACCATCCTTGACAATTTCCACCAAGGGTCCAAAATTACTGTATGGGATCAAGCAACCAAAGAAGTTATAAAGTAGCTTGAATTTAACTTCATCATAAATGCAGATGTTCCCTAACAAATCCCATTTGAGATTATGATAGCCTCGACAAGTTTTGAGACCAGATTCAAGCTTATAATGTTTATAATCAAGTACAGAAAAGTAAATGCTACCATATTATTAGCCTTCTTCGGCAAGCATTTGTTCTCTAGACAAACAAATTGACAGCATCAATATAAATTAACACAAAAATTATGCAACTAGATAAGAGATGGCACTAGGAATGATGACGTCAGGAAGATAGTGAGAATTATTAAAGTGAAAAAGTGTTAACCGTATGATGGTTGTTTGGCCCTCAAACACTTCAGTTCTTCATTTACACCAATTAGTTACACATCAACCTCGTAACAAAGAAATAATAACAACTCAAACTTACCCGAATCCCATCGTTTTAAGGAACATCCTCAGTAAATCCACGGCTGAACACTGGTTTCTGTAACTATCAGCAAGTACTCTCAAAGTACTACCAAGTTTGCAGATATGACAACTCAAAAATTGGGAGAAGACCTCCAACGGAACTTCTGTAGCACCATCAAACCCTCTACTCATCAACATTTTAGCTACTACTTTCTGAGACATCTGAAAAGATTGTTCTTGACCAAGATTTTTCCTGCTCCCTCCAGATCCACTTTTTGCTCGCTGTATGTTGCTCCCTCGTTCTGTGCTAAGGTAATCAGGCTTAACACCAAACCTCTCCATCATGGCAGAATTCCTAGTAATAGGCTGAGGGAAGGTACCAGTGACTCCAGAGAGTTCCAGTTTTCTATAGTCTTTCATATCATCAGGGGGTGGGAATGCACTCTCTGGCACACAGTTAAAAGTAAACATAACTTCAGGGAAAAAATTAGCATCATCTTCAACTGAACTATTGAAATCAAAAGCAGAACTTGAAGCATTTGCCGAGACAGAATTTCCAAAATTTTTAAACTGATCATCCTTAAAGACCATACGCCTTTTCTTATGTTTCTCAAGTAATCTAAGGTAAGAGGACATTTCCTCAGATGTTCGCTTGTCTGCAACATTGTTCCCATTTGACAAACAATATGGCTGCTTGACTCTATACTTCTCAATGAACTGATTGTACCATGTTTCAGGAAGTTCATTTTTTAATTTTTGGGATGAATCACCAATTTCAGACTCTCTAGATCTTGGCCCAACACTCGAAGCTGCTTTTGGCTGAATCTGCATATCCAGGTGACAAGTAAGGTATGCTGCACTTTGGGGATTGGCCGCTTATTATAGGCTATAACCACTCATAAGTATAAATAAGCATAGATAAACCAAAATCACATCATCAACCTTATAATAGTTCACACTTAAAACCTCCCATCCTATCTAGTAATCATACGATATGAACATTGAACAATTAAAGCCACAACGAACAGGACTAAAAACTTAACAAGCAAGTGAAGTAATCTTTTATCATATTTCTGTGCAAGAACCATAATTACAGAAAAGTTATCATGTGATATTGATATTATTCTGTCATGCTTGGTGTCAGCTTATTGATTTTCCTTTTTCTTTTTTCTTCTTCGTCTTTGGAAAAAGATAATATTATGTTTCAGAGAAAGACCTAAAATATAACTACACAAATTGTTGCGAACTCAAATTTCAATGAAAACTGCATAAGCATCACAAGAGATGGAATCAGAAAGGAGAAGGATGGAGACTTTACAGGCCAAACCAACTAAAGTTGACTCTGATAACCAGGAATGATAGGGGCTTGTCAAAAGATGGAATCTAGCTAACAAAACAATTGATCAAATTATAGAGTCGGCATAAACGTAATCTAACATTAAGTACTCGCCATAATATAGCATACACATTAGACCTGAGATAGCTCTAATTGCTTTTCGGAACAAAATAAATTTTAGAAGGAAGCACTGAAAATGGAGAGATGGGCAACGGGCAACATCAATGCTATCAATTTAAGATCACTGTCACTCCATCTTTGACCATCCGTTCCTGACAAGAAGATTGAGGTTTCGCCCCAAATCCAATTAGTCCCCAAAATCACGAAACATCCTATACAGCAATGCTCGATAAGTTTACTGTGTGAAGGAACGATTGTATTACAAGAAACTCCCCGAAACTGGAGGCCCAAACCAGACCATTGCCCCAAGAAAGAAGCCAATAAACTCTAGACTCAACCAACGTCTCACAAAAACAATATTGGGGGGGCTTGCAAATTTTGACGCGTCAAAATTTCATGCAAAACTAACATAATAGAGCATAGGAAATACAAAAGTATCTTGAAAAATAATAGTGAAGGAGAAAAGGAAAGAACCTTGCCGGAAGCCTTATTGGATGAAACATGACCCTTCACATCTTTGGAAGGATTTTCCAGTGTAAAATACACATCGTCACCATGAAGTTGCAAGTCTGCAAAATATGGCACCAGACTCAAATACTAATGCAGTATAGTAACAATTGACAAAGCAACAATCCAATTCAAAATGAATCTTACAATTAGGATTGAGCTTCGAAATAGCCAGAGAAGAGGACGATAATGGATTCACAGCAGAAGAAGAAGAAGGCGAGGGAGTGGAACGAAGAAAGAGAGAGACGCTTGCTTTGTCAAAGAGGAGAGCTCGAGCCCTAAGCTGTAGCTGGATCTGAGCCCTAGATTTCGAATCGTCCGTTCGCATGAATGTTTCCCATGTGGAAGTCGAGGAGAGGAAAGGCACGAAGTTGGAGTAGTTGAAATCACCAAGCCAAGTCCGCCATACCCCAAGGGTCTCGAGCTTTCGAGCTAGCTCATAGCCCCGACCATCGTCGCCGAGGAGAGCCATACCAGGACAAAACAGACGTCCCGAAAATGTAGAAGCCGACTGTGCCCCGCGTGGCGGCCGCGCAAAATCTAAATTAAAATGCTTATATGTTAAATTTGGATTAAATTACAAATTTATTCAACTTTCTAATTTCTGCTAATTTAGTCTCAATTTTATTTTCTAAAAGATTATAAATTTACCCCACAATTAAATTACATTAAACATAAAATTTAAATTAATCAGGATTCTAATAAATACAAAATTAAGTATTTATAACCCTTTTATTTAAATTATTTTATTATTAAATAATAATTTAGAAATAGATGAATCGACTCTAATTTCTAATAACATAATGAATCAATATCAAGTAATAAATCTCCGTTAATCCTTATAAAAATAAATGAGAAATTTTGTAAGAATGAATAATGAGATACGTGACAGGAATGACAACAACGAATGTTTTTTTGTCCCTTCCTTGCTTCATGTACATTTGTAGTCAAATTTCACCTAGTAAAAATATTTAATACTCAATTTATTTTCTTTTCCACCCTCGTGAAAGAATGATTGACCTAGTATTAAAAAAAAAATACAAATATTTATTTGTTGTATTTAAATAAAGTAATTAAATAACGTCACACGATAAGTTATTATAAAGTCCCATAAAAAAAATATTTTTTTCGGATGAAACTTAACTAATCTTGTTTTTAACCTCCACAAAAGGGACTAAAAAAGAATATTCCAAATCAATTTTACGACAGGGTGCTCTTTTTCTAATTTATTTTAGCTATATTATGTTAAACAAATGGATGGACCTTATTTAAATTTAATCGAAATTTTTTTAGAATAATTTAATGAAGAAAAAAAAAAGTCAATGACAAATCATTCTGAGATCTAGTTTTGCATTTTTAGCCCATATTTCATAAATAAATAAATTAATTAATTTAAAAAAGCTTGAAAATATATTATTATGAGCAGAATTATTTACCTCAATAATTTCTTGAAAATATATTATTAAAAAAAAAAAAAACTCAAGAAATGATGCCAATTGGCAACGAAGAAATGTCTCTAAAGGGCCCCACCAAAATAAAAGCAGTATTTAAGAAATAAGAATGAAAAAACTTGGGCGTCCCTGTCGAGAGTAAATATAAATGGATGAAGACGACGGGGAAAAAAGTCTTCGCCGGAGCTTTGAAAATCCGCCACAAACTTACGAGGAAAGGTTAAAATTCAAAGGATCTTGCTCTTCAACTTTCTACGAAGGTTTCACTCTTAAACCTCCAAAAGACCCCACCAGAAACTTTCCATTTCCTTTTCCACCGGAAGCTCTGAATTCAGCCTTCATTCAACGCTTTATTCAGTTCACCACGAGTTGAGGGAGCCATTGGCAACTCGTTTGCAGAGACACAATCGAAGCCCAACAGATAAGCGCCTCGTTGATAATCAATCAATGACTGGTAAAGCAGACAAGGTCTACGTTGCTATCGGGAATGATCTTCACGATGGATTCAAGACATTGGGGTGGACTCTTGGGAAATGGAAGTCTCAACCGATTTCAATTGTGATTCTTCACATCGCCTACACCAATTCCCAGGAATATGTCTACACTCCATGTAAACTCTGCCTGTTCTTCAAATTATGTTTCAATGATTCATCGATATTCGTTCTCCTAATCTTCGTTGATTGCTTATCTCATTTCAGTCGGAAAGCTCCCTGCGAGTTCTGTAAGTGAAGAGAAAGTGAAAGTTCTGAGAAAATATGAGCAGGAAAAGATCGATAAGCTACTTTCTAAATATGTAGATTTTTGTGGCAAGGTTTGATCATATTTCTTCGCTAGCTAATTGACTCCTGGAAAATTCTTACAATGTCTGATCCCCTTCTTATGGCATTAGGTAAAAGCCGAAATACTCAAGGTTGAGAAATCTGATGAACCTATTCATAGGTTCCTTGTTGACTTGATTTCAGAATTGGGAATCACCAATTTAGTCATTGGTTTTACGTTTATGAAATCTTCATCTTGGTATGCAGAAAACTTCTTAAGATTTGAAATTAGATAAGACATCGATTTTTTGCATTGAAACATTTGTGTGTGAATTGTTCTTCTGCAGGAAATCAAAGAATGCAATTAGTGGATCATTTTACATTTACAGAAACAAGGCCAATTCTTGTGAGTTGTTTGTAATATGGGGAGGAAAACAGGTATTTCTCAGAGATGAAAGAATCATGGAAGATGATAAAGGTGTAAGGATCTCTAAAATCAGCACCAAGCATTCATTCAAAGACTGGCTGGGAAAGATGTTCGTGGAAGATCCAATCTATTCCACAGAGAGGATGTTGAGTCTCTCGTCTTCTTCACCAAGTAGTTCAAATTCCTTGAGTTCTCGAAATTATTGGGACAATAATATCCATGAACTAGAGAACTACTACAAGGAATTACTATCGTTGAATTTGCAGGAAGAAAAAGACTGCGAGCAGGATCAAGAGGATGTTCTTGAAACTTCAAGTTCAACCCAGTTCAATATTCTGGATCATCCTGATTCAGACATGGTAAATATTATTTTTCAGTCAGGAAAACAATTAAATAATAGTTTTTCATCATCTTTTGTGCATTTTAGCATTGAATTTGTCAAATCCACTTTGCTTTCTAGCAACAATGACAGTCAATGGTTTTAAGAATTTGTTCTCAATCTGACATACTGATCATGATACTTCTCAATTCGACAATGAGGAATTGGGTCTTAAGAATTTGTTCATCTGGTCAACAACCTTACAGAAATCCTATCTTGTTCCTAAAAATGTACTCTCATTTACAACCCATGGAGAAAACTAGTAATGAACTCATTTTGCTATCTTCAATATGGGACTTGATCTGTTACTCAAGAACACTGTTGATTGCCTGAACGATGTTGGCAGAATACTGAGGAAAGCATTGAGCATCTAAGGACTAAAATAGAGGAAGCTCGCAAGACCATCCAGTTGATGAAAGATGAAGCAAAGGGTAGTGCTGAAAGGCAGGCTAAAGCAGAGTGGGCCATTAATCTTTGCAGTCAGCGGGTACTATAGGCTGTTTCTTTCCTCTGTTTGATTCATTTCATATTCGTCCTCATAACCATCAAAGTATTCATGATTTTACAGACTGAAGAGCTTGAAGCACAGATAAAAGAAGAGGTCACAATTAGGGAAGAGTTGCAGAAAGAATTAGACCCTGCCAAAGAATGCATTCTTGAAATAGTACGTGATATCGAGGAAAGCAAGAACAGATTAAGTCCACTTCTCGAACTTCAAGCTGAACTATCAAGGAAGCTCCAAATTTCCACTGCAGGAAAATCGCGTATCGAAGCTCAATTGGAGAAGACAGCGAAAACGAGGGAAGGGATGGTGAGAGAAATCGAGGAGCTGAGGAGACAAAGAGACATTCTTAACCGAAGAATTGAGTTCTGCAAAGAGAAAGATGCCATTGGAATGGCTGAAAGGTCGACTGAAGTGACTTGCAGTACAAGAGTTTACACGGCTGAAGAGATCAGATTAGCCACCGAGGGCTTTTCAGAACAAATGAGATTGAGTTCCCGGGTGTACAGAGGACGTATCAATCATAATTCAATTGCAATCCAAATGATCGACTCAGGAAATTGTCTGTCAGAAGAAGATTTTCAATCTAAGGTAGCAGATGCCCTCTTTTCAACTGTCTTCAACTGTCAAAAACTATGTTTTCAACTGTTTACTTGCAGGTGGAGCTTTTAAGCCATATCCGTCACCCTCATCTGATTGCCATGATGGGATTCTGCTCCGAGCTCAAATGTATTGTCTTTGATTACATGCATAGTGGTAGCTTAAGTGACAGACTACTTCCAACCAACAAAAGATCCAGGAAAATACGCCGCCCTCTCATGTGGCATGACAGAATCCGTATAGCATCAGAGGTATGCTCGGGCCTGAGCTTCCTTCACCAGGCTCAACCTCAGCCCATTTCTCATGGCAACCTCACCCTCTCCAAAATTCTCCTGGACCAAAACCTTGTCGCCAAAGTCACTGGTTTTGGGCTTGCCGAATTGGATAAAGCTGGTGGCATTGAGTTGGACATCCGGGCTTTTGGGGCTCTGCTGCTACATCTGGTAACTGGGAGGAATTGGACAGGGCTGATTGAGAAGGCACTGACGATGGGAAAGGCTGGTATTGTCCAGATTTTAGACGATGAGGCTGGACAGTGGCCGTTGGACTTGGTTGATGGGTTAGTTGATCTGGCTTTGGGATGCGTAACCCCAAATGGTTTAAATTCAGAGCTTAACTTGGCGACAGCCATGGAGGAGATCGATGAGATCAAGGCGAAAGCAGATGATCTAGTGGGAAACGAAGGTGCAAATGCAACTAATGAGGATGTAGATGATGTGCCAAGAATCTTCATCTGTCCCATCTTGCAGGTTTATTGAATTTCTAGATCCCTACGGTCTCTTCGCTGCTTCATTAAGCAACTTGAGAAATCAATAGCTTTTTGCATTAATTGAGCACAAGTGGCTACTAACATTCAATGCTTATTATAACCATAGGCCATAACTAATTTACTTTTCTACCAAAAAAGGAATCAAGTTCATAATTATTTGGTGAATTGTTGGTGCAGGAAGTGATGAAGAACCCACATGTGGCAGCAGATGGGTTCTCCTACGAGTTAGAGGCCATAGAACAATGGATAATTGCAGGAAACGATACATCACCAATGACCAACTTGAGGTTACAGCATCCTTATCTCACCCCTAATCACACACTTCGCTCTCTCATTCAAGACTGGCAAAATGAGACCTCAAATCGTTACACTTTAGATTTAGCGACTGATAGTTGAATGTATACTTGAAAATAGACGAGTTTGTCCCATTTTCTTTCTTCTTTCGTTCTCGATTCAATCCTGTAAAACCCAGCGAATGACTGTTCATGTTAGGTTACAGAAAATTGTCACAAATTCCTTCGATTAAACGAGTTAATGGTATCTATTCCATTCCCAAATGAAACCAATGGCGGAAAGCAACAAACGCCGCAGACTACAAATTCTTAAATCGGATATATTCAAGGATTTGGCAGCGAATACAGTCAACAAGGATTGAAAATATGAACGAAAGTGCAAGAAAACAGCCCGAGGTTGGGTTGGTAGCCCTAGAATTACAGACATTGACGGGGAAGAGGAATTTCTATTTTCAAGCTACAGGGGAGAGAAGACGAACCACATACTCTTGGCGGTCACGATACTGCCGTTTCAGGTAGTTCTCGAGAATCTCCATCACAGAGACTAAACGTTTCATTTCCTCCAAGAGGCGGCTGAGCTCCACCTCCCGAGCCCGAACTACAGCCAGTCGCGACTCTGCTTCCGCCAATCTTCCCCGTATATTATCCACGACAGAAGCATCGCCGTTTTCCGGTACGGAGGTTTGGTAGGGGAAAAGGCTATCTCCAAACGAAGATCGGCGGTGGCCGTTACACATGGCGATGACTGAAAAATCGCCGGAAGAGAAAAGATTTGCAGCGGTAAATCAGTTCTAGGGTGGGGCTGCAAAAAATCTCTGCTTTGTAGCAGGATATAATGTCATTTGACTTCTCAAATCTTTCGGTCAAACGGACAGAGCACTGGTCAGAAGCTATCTTGTGAAACGACGTCGTCGCATCCGCCAATTATTATTATTCTTTTTATTTATACAGTAGATAATTCGAACATTAACGGGAGTAAAGTAAATTCTGAGTTGGAATCTAAATTTTTTGATTGGGTGGTTTTGCGTAAAGGTTACGCCTATTAATGTCGGAAAGTTAGTGGAACGATGACGTTTTGGTGGGATTATAAGTTATACCCAGTAATAATGCATCTTTTATTGCTTTTTCTAACTTTTAATTGGCATTAATTTCTCCCAACCATTCCTTTTATTTTATTTATTTATTTTTATTTTAAACAATATATTAGAATGAGGTTCCAATTTAACATTTTTCTTATACGACACTCAGCCACACGATTTCTCGGTAGGGCTTTTAAATCCAACGGTTCAAATTGCAAAGCGATTGGACCCACTTTCATATCTGACTCCGTGCTATTATTAAATGGTTATAAAGGTTGACTTTCTACTTTTACCAACTTGCCTGTATTACAATTTTGAAGGACCGCGTTCAGTGGCGCTTCCCGCATTTGATTTGTTTCCCTAAACCAGGAGAAGAAGAAGAAGAATATGAAGATGGTATCGGAGGTTGTGGAGTTGTTGAAGGAGAACCTTCCGGTGACTCAGGAGCCTTTTGTTTTGTCCGGTGACGTTAACACTGGCCTCGTCCTCGTTGATGTCGTTAACGGTTTCTGTACCGTCGGCGCTGGAAATTTGGTAATTCCATTCGCTGATTTCTCTTCTCCGTTTCGATTCATATCTTATTCTGGAAATTACTCCTTGAGATAGAGAGTTCCAATTCGGAATATCATTCGCTATTGTTTTTTTTTTTTCCGATTACTCACTACAGAAGTTCCGTCGGATTCGGTAATGACTCCTTGTTTTTACAGGCTCCGAAACAGCATGACAAGCAAATTTCTCAAATGGTGGAGGAATCGGCGAGACTCGCTAGAGTTTTCTGCGAGAAAAAGTGGCCTATATTCGCCTTTCTTGATTCTCATCATCCTGATATTCCAGAGCCTCCTTATCCTCCTCACTGCATTGCTGGAACCGACGAAGCCAAATTAGTTCCAGGTACCATTTCCTGTACTGATACTCTCCATGATTGAATTTAAACTATATTTCCAATTTTGAAAATCTCTCGTCCTTGATTGCAGCCTTGCAATGGCTAGAAAATGAGACGAATGTAACGCTGAAATGCAAAGACTGCATCGATGGATTTGTAGGTTGTTTGGAGAAAGATGGCTCTAATGTTTTCATCGATTGGGTGAAAAACAATCAGATCAAAGTCGTGAGTATTCTGTAACTTTGAATCGGAGATACAATTTGGTCTAATTACGTTTTCCTTTTTCAATTAGAGAAAATTAATCTTTGATCTGTTTTCTTCTCTGTTAAAAAAAATAAAGATCTTAGTGCTGGGAATTTGCACCGACATATGCGTGCTGGATTTTGTTTGTTCAACATTATCTGCAAGAAATCGTGGTTTCCTTCCGCCATTAAAGGATGTGATTATATATTCCGGTGGCTGTGCCACTTTTGATCTTCCAGTTTCTGTGGCCAAAAATTTAGGAGATGCAATTGCTCATCCACAGGTATCCAAATTATTGATCCATCACTGACTTTGATATAAAATGAGTCTCTCTTCTTGTTCTTTATTAAGCGAGTTTTTGTCCCTTCATATGCCCAAGCCTTAGTTTTATTCGAGATGATAAGACCCTTAGCCAGCGTGGTTGAATTTCCTTTACTTGTCTGCATCCTTGGGATGATAAAATTATATGAACAAAGAATTTTAAGATCCGATCAAAGAACATTCTAATTCAACAATGTAATGATAATATCTACCGAATGGATAAGAAACAGGAAAAAACAATTGGAGTATATTAATTATAGTCCATTTTTATTCCCCAAATGCTTTCTTGAAATTGAAAGTAGTTCTATTAGCTTCCTTGAAGTCGAAAGTTTGATTATGAAAAGAGTCGAATGTTTGATTTCGTTTAATATTTAATCTTGGGGCATGATAACAAAGTTGAATGTGTTATATCAGGCGCTGATGCACCATATAGGCCTATACCTAGCAAGGGGAAGGGGAGCCAAGGTGGTATCAGAAGTTTCAATTAAGGCACTCTGAGGAAAGCCACTTAGCAAAGTAGCTGACTTGCTCTTTGGCTTCAATAATGTCTTTTCCAATGTAAAATGCAATGCTCAAGATTACAATGCAACTGCCTTTTATTGATAAGCGATCAATCTCTGCTTCAGAGAAATTCAAAGATATCATATTCTATATTGCAGGCAGTTGATTCATTCTCTTAACAAGTAGAGTACAGTGCTTCAATTACAGCCATTGAAACAGGACATGAACACCGAGAACGAAGCGTTCGAAGTATGAGCAACAGTGGGAGGAGGATGAACAAGTTCGTGAGAGATAATTACAGAGCCACCCAAGAAATATTTCAAGGAAATTGGAGAAATGAAACAGTTAAGACTGTCTTATTGAATATATACATAAAGGAAGAAAATCTCCCTTCCAATGGTTTTCCAGACCAAAACTAGGGTTTGTTACTCTATTTCATAAAGTGCTGCTAGTCAAGATGATGCTCTGCCTGTGCACGTTTCAGGCTTTGGAGTTTTGCAGGGAAGAAAGCAACAGTTCCATGTGCTTCTGGCTCTCTGCATAAGATAAGATATTCATCATCAGCATCAAAACCATTAAAAGAAAGCCTGCTCTTTTGCATTATCCCTTCATTTTTATGATGTAAATACAGAATGAGAAGGCATCATCTTTGGGATAGTGATCTCTCTCTACATAATTTATGAGATTGACAGCAAAGAACTCTCACCAAACAGTACATCAAAGAGGAGAAATTTGGCTGTAAATCTATCACCCTATGTGCGACGAGCTGCCACCACGACATGTTTCCTTAGTACATGATGTTTCATTTTAATCTAAAATCCGATGCTTGTCCAAGGACACACTTGGTGACATGATGCTAAAGTTGGGTGATGTTGCTTCCTTCAAGTCATGAAATTTAGTATAGTAACTCATGCGATGCACACCAACGATAACTAAGATACAAGTCCAGCTCTAAATAACTCAATAAGTAAAATTAGTCTCTGGAATGAAAGATCCAAAGAATTTTCTTTCCCCAAGGAAGAGATTCAATGACTTAGTTGTTCTTCCTTTGAAAATCAAAAGCTTTTAAACCAATTCATGGATCACTACTGCCGAAAACAGCTCCAAAACATGCCCAACGAATGTGCTCCCAAATTTCAGGAATCATGTCTCTTAAGAGCCATTCAAGACTTTATCTGCCAATTGCAGCAGTAATCACGGTAAAATCACACCCTTCTACACTGTAATAGTCAAAACTCATCGCTATCAGCTTTTTGGGTTTTCTTTTCGGGCTTCGGATTACCTCTCAAGGTTTTTAAAAGTCTTCTGCCAATAAGAGGTTTCCACATCTTTATAAAAAAATGTGATGTGAGATCCCCCTCTCCAACCGATGTGAGATCTTACAATTGGTAACCGCCCAAACCACCGTTAACAAATATTGTCTTCTTTGGATTTTTCGACTCTCCCATTTTTGTTTAAAACACGTTATAAAGAATGATTTATTCCTCTCTCCGACCCAAGTAGGATCTCACGTACACTTGCGCAAGATCAACTAAAGAAGAATTATGTAGGAACAAACAAGTAAAAATCTCTATAGCTATAAGCAAATAGCCAATATGACAGAAAGGATTTGATAAAAGAACAGTGAAAACACATCACAAATAGAAGGCCGGCCTTACCAGGTGAGAACTCAGTTTGAAGATTCTTGATGGCAGCCAGAAGCTCCACATTTGAACACTCCACCACTTCCTTGCAACGATTGCTATACGAAGGCACCAGAACGGCAAAACTATCGTCACTCTTAAAGCCAGGACCGTGAGGCTCCAACCAACCAATACTCCAATCGGCCTCACCAGAGGCGTCAGACTCCGACATTTGCATGCCATCACCGCCGGATGGTACCATCACATAATCACATTCCCACTCAATCCTATTTTCTTTCTTACTTCCCCATTGCTGCTTCTCGACCTTCTTCGCCGATGAAGGCAACCCCACCCCCCTTTTGAATTTGAGACGCTCTGTTTCTCTCAATCCATTACCAAACTCAGACGAAGAATTCGTAGGAGAACCATTAGTAACAGACTTCTTCTCCTTCCTATTCCAAACCCACATTGAGAAACGGCTGAAAGACACCGCCATGGGTTCCACTCCAGACGACTGAACAACTTTTGGGGGAATTTTAACAAGGAAACTAATCGGTTTTCCAAAGAATTTACAGATAAAATCTCGAAATGGAAAGGAGCGGCAGATGGCACCTGTTTGATTCAGTAGCCTCCATATGGAAACAATGAAAAAACTCTTGAAATCTGAAGAACTTTGAGAATTTGTTTTTCCCCAATTCTCAAACGCAGTTCGAATCAATCAAGGATACAATACTCCAAATCAGATTCTCAACTAAAATCAATCGCTAAAATAGGAAACCGGACGATTACAAGAAACAAAAACACAAGAAGTTTCAATGTATTGAATCCAGAAAGCATCCAAACAAATATCACCTAAAATCAAAGCTCATGTAAACACAGTCACTTTCAGGCCTACACACACATACTCTTCTTTAAGAATCTATCAGTTGTTGCTCCATAAAAGAAGAACCACAACAAAACAAAACTGAAAAAGAAAAGAAAAATCGTTTGCGTTTTGATTGGATTATAAAAAATCGAAGAGATCGATCATCTATTTGGAACTCGAAACAAAATGAGAACAAATCGGGAACAATTTGTTGAAATTTTTCCACCCAGAAATCTGAATCTGATATTCCTCAAATCTCTCAAAAACAGAGAAATCGGAACAGGGGGAGTGAAATTGGAACAGATCGTTCCACCTCAAATTATTGCACTCCCCTTCTCTTATTTCCGCGTTATTTTTCAATCTCTTGAAAAAACAATGATTTTTCCCGTAAATTTATAAAAATCTTGCTATATTTTATCGAAAGAAAAACCTCAGCCGTTGATAAGTCTCCAACAATCAATAACTAATCCAACAATTAAAAAAAAAGACAAATTGTGAAATTGACATTAATTTAATCATTTTATTAAACCAAAAAACATGCCAATATAATATGTGGTGTTTATTTTACCGACGAATTTTTATAAATTTTTTTTATTTATAAATAGCTATAATTTTAAATGTTTTTTTAACCATTTTTATTTTATTTAAAATTCTAATACCAATTAAAAAAAAAGTTTAGTTTAAAATAATTATTTTAAAAGTATAGGAAAAAAACTGTAATTAAATTTTTTAAAACTCTTTGAAAAATTCTTAAAAATTAATTCTCTAATTGTAGATGAGTTATTTTATTTAATCGAAATTGATTTTTTTTTTTTTTTTTAGTTTAATAATGTATAAAGAGAAGGCTTCAAACTTTTTTACCTCTTTTTAAATTAATTAAATATTATCTCTTTTAAAATTACATCATGATATTGCGACTACATGCCAATAATTAGTTTTAAATAATTAATATTGTAGACAATAAATTATGACAAACTAATTAAAAACAATATTTTATGTGAGTTTTTTTTTTTTTTTTTTTTTTT